CCATGAGACTCTTATCTCCAATAAACCACTAGAAAACCGGTAGTGGCTCTGTGGCTCGAGCGGTAGAGCGTTTGCCTTGACCTGAAGAGGGCAGGGACAGTGCCCAAGCCCAGAGTTCAAGCTCCATGACCGACCAAAAAAAAAAGAGTCACCGCTTTTCCTGCCAGGGCTGGAACCGTATTCCTCAGATCTCAACCTCCTAAGTAGCTAGGATTACAGGAGTGAACCACCGGCATTGTGAGAAACTATCTCCAATTAACCACCAGAAAACTGAAAGTGGCACTATGGCTCAAGTGGTAGAGCACTAGCCTTGAGCTGAAGAGCTCAGTAACAGCACCCAATACCTGAGTTCAAGACCCATGGCCAACCAAAAAAAGCAAAAAAACAAAAAACATGGCTCAGTGGTAGAGTGCTTGCCTGGCATGCATGAAGCCCTGGCGTTCAATTCCTCAGTACCACATACACAGAAAAGGCCAGAACTAACACTGGGGTTCAAGTGGTAGAGAGCTAACTGTCAGCTCAGGGACAGTGCCCAGGCCCTGAGTTCAAGCCCCAAGACCAGCAAAAAAAAAAAAAAAAAGCCCCATACAGCACATTTCTTCACCTTCTCCAATCCCAGGGCTGGGCGTGACCTCAGAGCCCAGTGGGACTGAGTATTTGGATGTGGTGGTACACACCAGTAATCTTGGCCCTTGGGAGACAAACACAGGAGGACCTAGAGTTTGAGGCCAGCCTCAACTACATAGTGAGACCCTGTCTAGAGAGAAAAAGGAAAGGAAAAAATAAAGAAGCTGGGTGCCAGTGGCTCATGCCTGTAATGCTGGCTACCTAGGAAGCTGAGATCTGAGGATCATGGTTTGAAGCCAGCTGGGGCAGGGAAGTCTGTAAGACAATTATCTCCAATTAACCACCAAAAAACTAGAAGTGGAGGGTGGCTCGTGTTGGCAGAGCACTAACCTTGAGTAAAAAAGTAAAGGAATGGCACCCTGGCCCAGAGATCAAGCCCTGGAATTGGTGTACATGTACACAGGAAGGAAGGAAGGAAGGAAGGAAGGAAGGAAGGAAGGAAGGAAGGAAGGAAGGAAGGGAGGGAGAGAGGGAGGGAGAGAGGGAGAGAGGGAGGGAGGGAGGAAGGGAGGGAAAAAGCTGAGCCTTCTCCATGGGTGGACACAAAAGGATCCCTGGGAAACAAGAGGGACCAAAGGGACTTGAAGGTTTCAACCCACAAAGGCCAAGAACCAAGAGAGACCAAAGCCCTAGACTTGAAGGCCAGGAAAGGCATGACATGCTTGAAGTAACACCTCTTTCCCACTCAGGCCCCTTCATCTGGACTACCAGCCTCAAGTGTAGAAAGACCCTAGGCAATCTCCTCTTCCCACCTCCGGACACTGAAGAAGACAGACTGCAGATGTGGGAATATGTCAGTGTGCCAACTGAGCAGGAGAAGAGGAAGGCGGCGAGTAGATGTGCTTTGATTTCGGACAAATGGTACCTAAGTTCCTGAGAAAACAGACAACCATGTGGCTGGAGAGGGAACAGTTCCAAAAAATGCTCCCTGTGTCCCGCACCAACCCCAAGGTTTCCTGAGGGAGCTCCAGTCCCCTAGGCCGAGTTTGGCCCTTCCGGAACCAATCAGGATGGGGCTCCTGCCAGAACAGGCCGCAGAGCCAAGCACCGAGGGAGCCTCTTACACCCCTTTCGCCCCACCCTGCTGGCCAGAGCCTTTTTCAGGGTGGGGCTGGGGAGGGCACCCTCTATCACTGGGTGAAGATGCCAGCTGTGAGAACTGACGGACGCGTCCACAACCCCACTGTCTGCAGCAGCCCAGAGGATGGGGCGCCACACCAGAGTTCCGACAGAGGATTGCGGGGGGGGGGGTCTTCAATCCTCAAGCACAGCCTAGGGGTTCAAGGTGAAAGTCTATTAAGCACACTTCCGAAAAGGGAGCAGAGCTCCGCAGCCTTGGGGGGAGGGAGGGACGAGCTGCCCACGGCAGGTGCGGGGTGAGGGGGAGGACGGGGGTCGGGGGACCCCCGCGGCGGTGGGGGCTGGGCTGTTCTAGCTGAGTCCCAGCACCGACCAAGCCCCCCCCACCCCGCGCTCCTTCCACATGGACACCCCCGGAACCTGCCCTCGGGAATCACAGAACAACTTTCTGCGGCCAAGGAGGTGCAGGAGCCGCAGTAAGGAACCGGTGGGAGGACGGGAGAATGGGGGCGAGGGCGGGCTTCGAGGGAGCGCCCCGGGAAGGTGAAGGGCTGAGGCGCCGGGAGACGGAGGGGCCTGGTCCCCTCCCCGGCTCCCCAGGCCTAGCCCGAGGCTCCTCCGGGGCCCGGCTCGCCGCACCTCGCGGGCCGGGCAGGCGGCACGCTGAGGGGACCAGGTGGCCCGGCCCTACCTGCAGTTCCTGAAATTCTCCCTCCAGCTCGTGCCACTCGCGCTCGCAACACTCCAGCTGCCCGGACATAGT